AGAAAACAACGAATTCCTCCAATTGTTGTTATTATACGTGACACTTCAGTCTCAGTTATATTTAGAAAAGCTTCCTTATCAATGTCTTCTTCTAAATTCAATAAGATATGAATATAAAATAAAAAAATTAATATTGTTTGACGATTTAATTTAAACCTAATTTTAATTGTAAATTACAATCGGTCATATTATCTTAATCAATGAAAAATATTCACCATATTAGAATGTGCATTTTTTTTCTCTGCCACCGATCTAAGATTGTGTGTATAACAATAAGAAACGTCTAACCGAAACAAATACCAATCAGTGTATTATTGTTCGAAAAAAAAAACAGTGTAATCGTTATTCAATTATTTCACTTTCACAGTCTTGCTTAGCAACAAACTCTTTCTCTAAAAAGCGTATAAAGCGTATATAATATAGTATATTATAGTTTAATGACGAAATGTTACCATATTAAGGTTATGACCGAAAACTTCCTTTTCGAGAAAAATTTTACTCGAAATATATAGTACACGTAATATATACTATATTATATCGAATAAAACTTTCATTGGGACGTAAATAAGGTTGTCTAAACTAAACCCACAAAGCATGAATATGCATGCTGTGTGAAAAGCAAGATATCAATATATGCTATATTGTACTTACCAATAAATCGATGATACCATTTGGACAATTTCCATTCATTTAGCATTGTACGAATGAATTCTTCGTCAGCCATTATCACTTCACACTTATATCTGTATCACACACTTCACACATATCACTTATTACTGCGAAATCTCGCGTTAAGAGACTGTATGGGGCTATTGCGTCAGTCGTAATGTTCCTAACCTTAATTCCTAACCTCAGTTGCTAACTTTAAGCGCCAACGGACTTCGTGCGCGGAGGGGATTGATTTCTCAAACGCGCGCGGGGTCCTCTAGCGCAAGGTTTGACTGTATTCACTTTTAAAGTCAGGAAAAATTCAACACACGTAATTTTTATGATTAGAATAACATCTCTCTTGAACACTCTTAATTGGTATTGACTAGATCTCTTTCGACAATGACCATAAACTTACTTAATGATATACATCCCATTGGCGATCGCAACGCTTGTGGAATTTCTTCTGTTTTTTATCGAAAACAAAGATAGGTAATGCTCACGAACATTGCGATCACAAATGGAACGCAGCCGAAGCAAGCGTATATAAATCTCACTATTGCCATTCGCTATTATTGTTCAATTACTGTGTGTGTGTGTGTGTGTGTGTGTACATATAAATATAATTTATATATATATAATTTATAATTAAAAAAAATATTCTATTATATTATATATATTATACTTTTACACACACACACACACACACACATATATATATATAAATTATATACACATACACACACACACATGGTAATTGAACAATAGTAGCGAATGGCAATAGTGAGGTATATATAATAGAATAGAATATTTTTGTTTAATTACAAATTTTCTGTTGAAGAAACTAAGCAAATAATTTGGTTGCGCTTAACTAAACAAATTTTTGAATTTTGTTCTTTCTATAACACATTTGGTTAGCATAAGTAGAACATTTTATATCGTCAACTAAAACGTGTGTACCAAACATTTTGGTAATTGGCAATTAAAAAATTAATTTTTTCAGTGCAGCTTTAAGTCTGGCGACATGTTTTCGTACGTTTGTTCTATTTGATCTCTTCTTGAAAATTCACCTGCTCTTCTCATGAGCGTCGCCAGTTCTGTGGCGTAATGCCTAAATGGTTCGTTTGCTTTCTGCAGTCGTTTCTGTACTTCTACTTTTAATTGGTTCTTGTATCTATATGGAAAATAATGTTCCCGAAATGCGTTCATGGAATCATTCCATTCTTTCCACGCTTTCTTGTTGTTCCTGTACCAATGCAAGGTACTTCCGCGCAGTAATTCCGGTAAGCCCTGCAGCATTTGTTCATCGGTATATTCGTAACTACTTCGTAATTCTTCAATTCGTTCTAGGAAAGAAATTGGATCCTTTCCGTCGAATTGACATCCCCATTTACGCATGTGGTTAATTGTTTTTGCGACCGTTGCAGGGTCGTTTCTATATGATACTTCTGTTTCTTGGCTCGTCCCTTCGTCTTCCGTCCTATTTGTGAACCGTTGCGGGTTATCGAAGACAAATTTACTTAGTCTGTTTCTTAGTTCATCTAGGGTGCCTTCCGTGGACAGTCCTAGTTCTGCCATGTTTTGAATTATCTAGTCTTTTGCCAGTGTATAGATCCACTGCTTCATCATTTTTCTTTATCTGTTCGGCCGCCAATTTGTAACGGCCGTGCGTTACGTGCGGGATAGGCTTAGTCGGTGTGGTCCGGGTTTCGTTTGTGAAATGAAAAGCAGTGGTGTAGGTTATAACAACGTGGAACTATGTTCTAATTTCAAAGCTATATACAATTATTTACATGCGACGTTACGCCGTTGGCGCGTGGTCGCGTTTTTGCTC